TGGGAGCCGGTCAGTTAAACTCTCCGCTAGCACGACTATGGAGGGGGCACTAGTCATGTGCTTATGGGTGTATTACATAACGGGACTCTCTTACCCTGTGGCATGTGAACAAACCTTTGGACTTCTCTAGGGTCTGCTCGTTGAAAATAAAGTGTTTCGATTCAGTTTATGTCAGAGAAGCTCAGACAATTGCTCATGGCCGTTCAAAAACAACATAAATTCTGAGCTTCTGCTGATGGCAAGAGACGCCGAATAATTTGTTTTTAATGCTATGAAGTAGGTAACTACGCTCTAAAAAAAGCACAGGAATCTACTTTCCGGAACAGCACTTGGAAAGTCAATCACCTTAACTCACGGAAGCTGCTCAGCGAATCACGATGCCGAAACATGATTAGACCACAAAACCCAGTCTGAGTTGTGACATTAAGCAATGCAAAACGTCACGCTTGTTGTGCTTAGTGTCGCAATTCATTTTTTTTTATAATATCATATGTTTCGGCATCTACATTCGCTGAGCTGCCTCCGAGAGTTATGCTGATTTTCTTTCCATGTGTTGTGCGGGAAAAAATGTATACTTATTTTTTTTTTATGTTACCCGCTAAAAAAAAAAAAAAAAAAATTTAACACGATTGTTATGTTTTTGTTTATGATAGGCAAAAGGAGTCACTTTGCAGCACGGAATTTTTTGTGTGATAGTTTCCGAGAAACGCCGATTTCTGGCGTCGTTCTAACGTCTTTTTTTATCCGTAAAAGCTACCAGAACATCGGTATAAAATTACTATTTTGATAAAGACATTTCAAAATATTTTCTTGTGTCATGGCAAATAAAACACGTGTTTACTCTTAATGATTGTCACTGTTTTATTTCAATTGTGTTACGCAGCACAGAATAACTTTGGTTAAACAATATCAGCGAAAGTGCGAGAACTATATCACTGCAGTGCAGCATGTCACCCGACAGTCCAAACACGAAGGAGCAGAAATTCTACGATACAATAAGAGAGATAACCTAAAGCCGGGGTCACGCTGCTTATACATCATACAAAATACATTCTACAGACATGTTCCGATACGAGTCACCGCGACATCCGTGCTTTGTATGCCACGTGACAAAGCAACCCCTTGATTTGGTTGCCTCGTGGCGTACGAGGCACGGATGTCGCGGCGACTCGTTCCGGAACATGTCTGCAGAATGTATTTTGTATGATGTATAAGCAGCGTGACCCCGACTTAAGGGGGACTATACTCCTGCATATTAAGCGGGCCACCGTCCCTCCGAATTTAAGGGGGAAAATATCTCAAAAATGTCTCTCTTACAAAGTGGGACTGACCTCGAATTTAAGGGAGACGCCTTACCGCTTACTTTAAGAGGGGTGGTGTCTCACTTAATTAAGAGGGAGCATCCCCATGTAATATTAAGAGGTCTGTCGCCCCCCTTAAATTTAAGTGGGAAAAAATCGAAGAAATGTCCCTCTTACTAAGTGGGACCGGGCTTAGAGTGTAGGTCTTCCCCCTTTTTGCTACTTCGTCATTCAAGAAATAAAAATAAAGTATTTGAAGTAAATTACTAAATACCACAATAAAAATGTAATTTAGAGTTACTAAGTTATTCAAAAGTCATTTGAGTAACAGGGTGTAGTTGAGCTTGTTGGTGCATATTGCTAGATATGGCCAGCTGAACTTAGGAAAATAGAATTTCTCTCTCCAATTCTATTTTCCTAAGTTCAGCTGGCCATATCTAGCAATAGTCACTTGAGTAGAGTGGTTTCAAGTTAAATTTACCTCAGTAGGGTAGTTGAATTACGTACAAGTCTGGTTAAGACGAGCCCTTGTGATGCGTACAAGCAAAATGTATTTTAGCAACGTACAATGTAAAACAAAAACACACCCAAAATTTGTTTTTGTTTTTGGTGAATCCCTGCTGCGGTCACTACATACTTAGTCTAAGATGCCACGTGGCGTCAAACTATAACAAATAGCATAGTTTTTAGCAACGATACCAATATAGTTATTATATTACCTGATTACAATGTTTTCAGAAAATAAGACAACCAACTGAGAATCCAGGAGCGTATCAAGTCAACAATCTAGCCATCGGAAAAACAGACACACACACAAAAAAAATCGACACGCTTCGTCGGACGAGTTTACAGAAATGGGCGCGTGTAACGACGTAATAGGTCACATAAGAAAAAATCAAGGAAGCAGACAATGCCCACGTAAACGATAAAAAAAAAACAAAAAAAAACGCCGCTACGGCGCAATAAAAATCCTATTAAATAGTATGCAGAAAAAAAGAAACACGGACGAGACAATCTTGCGCTTTTGGAAACGAATTATTCATACAGTTCTCGGGAATCCGTGAAGGTCGCAGTCAGAGCTTATTACCGGCGGCCCATTTGCAAGACGTTCGCAAGCAGCCTCCGCGCTTCGAGAGCTAGTCTGGCCACCGTGGACGGAAAACTCTTTGTTTGGGCGCCAGTCAGGAAACCTTGGGTACGCCTCAACAATGCTTGAACTATCAGACGATCTGCACACGCCGGTACCAAGATGGCGGCGCCCAGGGGCCGTGCACTTACAGACGTCTACTCCAATACAATCTAGAAGACGGTGTTCGCGCATTTCCCCTTCAAACGTCATCACTGTAGGGGATTCACGCAGCGTGACGTTGCTTGCGTCTGTATCACCGCCAGCGCGCTTCGCGACGTCAGCCCACGGTGACGCCACGCCGGACGCGTCTATCGCTTTGCGGTGCACAAGCAGAACGCGCGATAAGGGATGTAATTGAAAACACTTTTTCTTTCAGTGCTACTACAATCTGTCGTGGCCTTGTAGGGCTGCTGCTGACAAAACGGGCTTCACTTATAAACCTTTCTTTCTTCTTTTTTTTTTTTCCCCACGGATTCGACGGCCGCGAAACGAGAAAGTCGTCAAAAAGAGCGACTCAACGGACGATTTTGTTTCCTTGGCCACGTGCCGGCGTTCAGATCAAGAATAATAATAACAAAAAAGAAAGGACCTTGTAAAAGGCGATTGGCTTTCGCTTTTCTTTTTCCCGCGTATGTTGCAGGTCCGGGAATATCCTGGAGGCGAGTACTCCCCGCCGAAGCTATCGAAACGTTCACCTTGTTTTCCGGTAGTTAATGTGCCTTTCTGCATATGGCGCGTGCCAACGAATTTCCTCTAGTAAGCGATTCGTTGTCACGTACCTCACGGTCGGAGAGCTGCGTGAACAAAAATAACTCTCTAAGCTGAACAAATTGAGGGCGGGGGGGGGGGGGGGGGGGGGGGGGGGCTACGGACAGGCAGCTGTTCTAAGCTGTTCCAGGAGGCCAGCGAGCGGCGACACGTGTGTAAAACGAGACTTTGGAAAAGAAGTTTGTTCAGCGATGTGGATGCGGAAAGTCTGACCTTATTTGGTTCCCACGTGTGACAGCCTTATTCACCCCAGACTTCGGCGTATTGTCGTTTGTCTCCCTTGAACGTTTGAAGCAAAAACAAAACCAAAATGCCCGAATCCTAATGAGAAAGAGAAGTAGAACGTCGTTCAGTACACTAGCCCACATATTTCAGAAGGAATACATGTTCGAGAGCCACTGTTTAGAGGTCAGGGCTATAGACCGTTTTCCCCCAAGCATGGCCCTTTTGTTGGAGAAACACTAAGTGCCATAGCCTCCTCTATACTCACAGAGCCTAACAGTTCGATGACGGAGCCATAGAGTGCCCGGTTGGAGATTTGGAGCGCGAGGATCTGGTAGCACAGAGCATTTCTCGGGGAGTCTGGTATTCAGCGCACAGCTTTTGCAGCGGCGAGGACCCGAAACGTGGTTTTCAAACCCGACGAGAAAAGAAGCGGTTGCCGGAGGAACGCGAGAAGCACGAGCGGACATTCCATCGCTCGGGACAAGTGTGTTTCGGCGTCTCGCCGCAGCGGGGCGCCCGTTACATGACTCTTGTCTGCCGCTCTACCTCTTCACTGTCGGCGGCCGCGTCACGTGGCGATCTGCCAGGCTTTGTCAGTAAAGAGGAGGCTACAGAAGCACACGTGTTGTGTGTTTGTTTAGAGAACGAGATGCTAAATTCAAGCGCGCTCTAAGCGCAAAAGTCGCCGGCGGCCTTTTGAGTTTGCCACTGTCTATTCCTGTTTATCGCCACTGCATTAAAATAATCTATTTTACTTGCGGCCAATTTATTCATCACTCGTCTGAGCTTATAAGACCTTCCTCTGTCAGTGAACTTGACGATGTCCTTTAGCTTCAGAAATTGTCTTAGGTGCGCCAACGTTTTACTAATATCGAGTAAGGATACTTAGGCTTCCGCTAAACTCCTATAATCGAAACGTCCATTTCCGTTGAACTTTGGAATAAAATGAGGCTTCAACGAAGGCAATCGCCCCATAAATTTGGCGGAAAGACCTTCCCCACTGAATCTAGCAAAAAGAAACACTCCGTACGTGACCTGACATATATGTCCGTGACGTTACGTTTGACCCTGACGTTGCATCTGTCCCTGACATTACATATTTTAGTGACGTTACATCTCTTTTCAACTTCTTGCCCCCTGCCAATAAAATGTTTTCTTCGTTAGAAACCTAACCTGAATCAGGGCAGCTGTAGTACCGGTCACAGCCTTTGAGGTTCAGTCAACAACACCGACGAGAATAGTCGAGGCGTACGCCGTGTCCTTCTCTTCCTTCGTGTGATGTCATCACGGGCGGACGGCGCCAACTCGGCGATTGAACCCGAATTCGACGCCGAGCGTCTTTCAACGCGCTGATTGGACACGAGGGGTTCAGCCGAGCTCTGACGCAGCGCTCGTGACCAATCCGCGTCCGCGCTCGATCTCGCTGCGATGTCGAAGGTCGAGTGCGCAAGTTTTTATTATTCTAAGGGATGTTGATTCGGTGCACAAGTCTGGCATCCATCTTAATATATAATTGTGCTCCGATATTTTTTTTTCTTAAGTTCTTGTTCATTGGTTATTTGTTTTTGTTTCTGCAGAAGAACAACAGTCACGACGGGCTGTACTCGGTGTACACGGGGGTGGACGATTCGTCCAAGTTCGCCAAGCTGGAAGAGTGGAACAACCACAAGTAAGGCGACAGTGAACCTCTCACGTGATCGCTCAGCGTGTGTGTGTATGTTTGCGCGCGCATGTGTGTATGTGTGAGCGTGTGTGTGTGTGTGTGTGAATTTAAAACTGTCCCACACAGAAAAAAAAAACACGAAACCATAACGGCGAAAATGTCTTAACAGCGCGGCCACACCTTCAGATAGCGGCCTGGTAATTCCCAAGGTGGTCGGAGGAAAAAAAATTGGCAGCGATTTATCATTTCTTTAGTTTTAACGATTGTTTAAATTTGTTTCGAAAGTATTAAACGTGACATGGCATTGTAGTGTCACGTGACCCGATGCCATGGGACGTGGTCACGTGACCGTCACGTCACGTCTCCGCGTAATGTTACCTAGCGTCACGTCACGTAACCCGACGTCTCGAGAAAAGAAACTAACAGGAAGAATTGGAAAGAAACAGTCTAGCAAACCTCCAGACTAAGAAAGATCAAAACAGAAAAGGAGATTGGACTAGAGTTGAGGTTCCAAAAAAAAAAAAAGATGTATTAAACTAAACTCGCCATCCGAACAATGAAGACATCAGACGCCTGCTCTCCATCTGAAAAGCGGGTACACGTTACAAGGTCTTCTCATTCAAACTTCCTATTCAAAAGCTTCGAGACCCCACTAAGGTTGGTGACAGGATAAAAGTACAGGAGAAGCACTTTTCGCTTCTTGAGAGGAGGCGACGTGGACTTTAAACCTGTCACCCCAACTGCAGTAATATTTAGCGGCGAAATTGATGTTACGTGACGTGACGTCATGTGACCTCACGTAATCACGTGCCAGCAGGACTTGAAGGCGTGACATCAATTTTCCCGCTAAATTTAGCGGGAAAGTTAATGTCACGTGAGCTCACCTCATCTCTTTTTAAAGCATTCCATGTTTTCAAAAAAATATCCCCTTGCAATGTGCTCATCCTGACATATCTTCTTTTTTTAAATATATATCGAATTAGTCCTGTCATTACCATCTACCAAGTGCAACCAACTCAGCTTGACAAAATAGCCTTGCCGCGCCCAAATTCGTACCGCGTGGCTTGGAGGTTCACGCGACCTTCGTTTTTTCATTTTCTTTTCGCCTCCTTTCCAGGCAGTTGCCGTTCTGGAAGGGACCCACTTGCAACATGATCAACGGAACCGGTGAGCAGAAGCGAAACCCCAAGAAACACAAACTCTCGCAATAATATTATTAATAATAAGAAAAACAAAAAGGCTGCACGGTTTCCTAAGGGCGCAACCGCCTTCTTATCGGTCGCATTGGTTTGTCAGATGGAATCCAGCTCGCGATCGAGGTCGCAACAACGCACGCTGAGCGAAAGCGAAGTCGCGGGGAGTTCGAAGAGAAAGTCGTTGGCTGGAGGTCGCCCGTAAAAGGGAGGGCCCCCGGATAAAATTCACGCTTGGCGTTCCTTACAACTTGTACTGACAACTAGGGAGCCTTCATGTGCGCTTTGCTAGGGTGATGCCGCCCTTTGTAATACCACTCGCCGACAAACCAGCAGCCATTTTGTTCCTCGGCAATAATCCGTGGGGCTTATAACCCTCCCGGAAACAAGCACCTTATCTCAGAAGTTCGGAGCAGCGTTGTGGAACCCACGGAGGGAGGATTAGCATTTTCCCCCTCGGATGGGATTACCGATGGACAGAAAGGCCACTTTCCGGCGCACGGGGAAACAATGAGAGAAACAAAATGGCGGTAGAAGAGGGTGTGGGAAAGGGAAACAGGCAGTTGGCATCACTCTATGCGAAGCGCACATGAAGGCACTCTACTGACAACCATTGTGGCGCGAACGCCCAAGACAGGTGCCACGAGCGAGCGAGTGCTTCGCCGTAAGGAGCCCCAAATGGGCGTCCTGGTATCTCAGCTGTAGATGAGAAATTTTCGCTAGTGCTGTACTACTGGTATCCCGAAGTCTGGCGTGCACCCAGTGTTGTACGCGTGACTGAAAAAAAAAAAAAAGAAGTCGCTTATAACAATTACAATTACTTTATTCAAAAATGTAACTGATTACAGTTATCAATTAATGCATCACAAAAGTGACTGAAAAATGACCAGAAAGTAATTGATTACTCTTCACAGTACTTTCCTTACAATTTTTATTACGAATTAGAAAAAAATACATGCATGTATGTTTGAACAAATAATTAGGAGCTACCGAAGCCTAGTTGAAGATTTTCCATTTTCTAACTCCAGAGAGATCACGTGACCTTCTTCGCGGTCGCTTTGAGAACAAAATCAGCTATTGCTAATAGAATTCGTCACTTTCCTCAGTAGTAGAGATAGACGTCCTATTCTTTCTGGTATCGTGGTATCTTTTTTCAGTTGTTTAGGGATAAAAAAAGTGTCCAACGTCGGTGCAACGTAGACGAGTGACGCACGAGCAGATACAGAGTGATTTTTTTTACGTAAAAATTTTAATTTAATGATAGTAACAAAAAATAGTCATTGAGTCACCAGCGAACGTTACCGCAAAAACAAAAACTTTCAGTCGTTCCACTCTGCTGAAGAAGGAAGCAAAGCTGTACTATGGTGGAATAAGTAATTGGCGACGTGCGCGACCGAAAGCGTCGCTGTGGTCGGCCTTCCACGATTGGCCCAAAAGCTGACTATGACGTTGGAAAGGGTATACCATCGACGGAAATAAGAGGAATGAAAGAACTTTAATTTCGACGGTGTTGGCAGTGTTGCTTTGAGAGCGCAATGATTTCAGGCTTCCATCATGCTATTTACAAACACCATCGAACTTGTTGTTCGCAAGGTAATGACGTCACAAGGGGGAACCATAGGAGGGCGCCACCAAAACATCTCGCCGCAAGTCGGCAAGCCAGAGTGGAATGGCTCAGGAAGGGCTCGAAAGGTTGCGCCATCTATGAGCGACGGCGGCAAGCAGACAACCGGCAAACACAACACTCTGGACAGCTACCGCCATCTATGAGCGACGGCGGCAACCAGAGTGTTGTGTCGACATTTCTGTGCGGACGGACACGATCCTAGGAAAACTAGCCCTTAAAGGGCCCATGAAACGATTTTCGGGTTGGGATAAATCATTTTAGATTGGGATTTTACTAATAGCACATCGTTCAGTGGACCAAAAGAAAAAAGGTAGAAGGTCAAAAGCCCGATTTTCAGTGCGAAAATTTGAAAACAGAGCGGACTATTTCGTACCTCCTCCCCTTCGCAACCTCTCTGCCTTTTCACTGTGATACATCCGCGGTCCCAAAAGCGCATCATCGGGTCCAAACTGACGTCACACGCAACCGGACCTCACTTAATCCCTTCACCCCTAAGCTGACATTGTGCTGGAAACTACGCGCTTGCCGCACCAATCAGCCGCCTCCGTTTCATCACTTGACTTCATTCTCTGCAGCCACATTTGCCATGCTCACGTGGCAAGTGTGCCTGGCCCAATGAGCACGTAGCTTCCACAGCACTGTCAGCTTCGGGATGAACGGGGTGGGGAAAGCAACTTTTGTCTGAATTTTGAACGACCGGCTAATCTTCTAGGGGAACAATGGCTCTGTCCGGCTACACAAACCAGATTCCGAGCGAGAGGGGCCTCCCTTCTTTTCGTCTTCTTGAACTGTTTGGTGGAATGGGCGATTTATGAGTTGAGGAGGAAAACTAAACAGGAAAAAGTTGGAAAAGCGTTTCATGACCCCTTTAAGAGCTCCGCTGTAAAAAGTAATTAAAGCGCTAAAAATTTACAATAAAATGTAATTGATTATAAGTAATCAGTTACTTGTAAGTTGTTACGCTGAAGTCTGCGTGCACTACGCAGTTGTGATGCACGTCCGCACGCCGGTACGATGTTCATTCAGATCGAAACGAGCAAACCCATGCAGGATTCCTGGGTTTCTGCAGCTCGAGCACTGGGAGCGTTTGCCTATCATTTGACACTTTTTATGTGCATCTTTCTGTGCATTTAAATAAAAGAAACATCATCGAGCGAGGAAGATTTATATCAGGCTTGAACGCGGACAGAAAGTAGTTGCTCTTCTGAGCAAATCGAAGCGTTGAGCTTGATTTCTACCTTACACTTCGTTCGTCAGTCGCGCAACATCCTACTGCGAGCAAATCAGAACGCGAAATAAAAATGAAATAAAGCTTCTAACGAGCTAGAAATCCAAATATTTGGTTTCAGTATGACTGTGTTTACGTCAATAAACAGTTGCTAATTATACTGTACTTTAGGTTACAATAACTCTTTTTTTCACGTTGTTTTTGGTGATAGAAAAAATGATAGATCAAACTGGCCATGTTTAAACATCAATCCCTATTTTCTAGCTACATTGATTGAAATAAAATAAATATTATTTAAACGAAATACATCTTATCTAATTAAATTTTTTTAAATAAAGAATTATTTTCGAGACTCTTCTTGCATCAGAAACACAAATATATCGAACACCCAAGTCCCACCAAAGCGACAATCAGAAAAAAAAAAAAAAAAACCGACAACGGCAAGCCTTAATTACATGCAGCATGCACACGAAGATAGCTTTTAATGCTTCGCAATCACTCGTGCTTACTTCAAAAGGAGGCTTGGAGCGTAAGCTCATCTGATTCTCTCACAGGGGTTGTGATGGTATCAGAACACCAAGCTCTAAACGGCTGATTCAAATAAAGAAAAAAAAAAAGGGGGGGGGGGTAGATTTTAAGTCATCTAGCATTGAGGTCTACCCACTAAGCTTTCAGTCAAAGCCAATGAGAACTCGGTATCGTTCTGACGTCACCGCAACCCCTGCGCAAGAGACAGGCGACTTGCTCTCCGTATAGGCTGCTAAGACCGGCAGTCTTGATGGTGCGGAATGCAAGTAGCAAAAGTACCGTGGAAGCTCGCCGTCAGTACCTGCTTGGCAGTCGCGCACGCAGCTATGGCCGCCAGTGAATACTCCCCATAAGCCTGCCAAAGGTACATTCGCGTCTGTGTTGCACGACCTCTAGGCTTTGTTGCTGTCAGCTGTTTCTGTTTTGTCGATATGGTGGGAATCGGGCATAAGTGACGCGCTGTCAGTTTTGTCAACGCGGTCTCGTAATGCCCGTGTCCCACTAGAGCGACAGACAGAGACAAAAGACAGCGACAAGCCTCAAACCCATGCAGCATGCTCGCGAGGTAGCTTTGGCAGGCGTTTAGTCGTTCGGTGCTCGTGAAGTAAGCACGAGCGATTGCAAGCCTGTCAAAGCCACCCTAGCGTGCATGATGCTCGTGTTTGAGCATAGCCTCCTTTAATCTACAAAGCCTCTCAAATTCCGAAAGACTCTGGTTTTAGGCTTGTCGTTGTATTTTGTTTCTGTATGTCGCTCTAGTGGGACACGGGCATAACGGTTAGATTTTCAAGCCGAAATAGCACCAGACTGTGGGCAAACAAGTCCGCGTTTGCCCAAATCACGACTGCGCGTGCGCAAGAACCAGATCCACGTCGAGCAATGCATTTACACATGTGCTGCGTCGATAGCAGCCTCACCGCGGCTGCATGATGAAACAGCCGCGTGTTGGCGTATGGAGCATGGCACCTGTCGCGCGGATCGGTATCACAATGGCTGACGATGAATCGTGGAGCGCGTGTTCCATAAAGCGTACAAACAGCAGACACATTCAGGTCCACATAAAAACAACAGCTTGTTCGAGTGACCCAGTCAAATCGACCTGTTGCAGAACGTGGAGTGCCCTATGCAACGCCGAAAAGAGTTCTGGGAAATGGCTGTATATAGAACCGGCTGTAGCAGACAACGGAGGCAGCGGAGGCGAGCGGCCAATGGCAGGCGGACAACTGCTCTACTTTCTCTCAGTTTCGCTCTCTCCAGTGTCGCGTAGTAGATGCTGCGGCAGAAGCAAGGATGAGCATACAGGGCGTTCCCATAAATCACGCACTGCTTTTTAAGATTATTTGCATACTGGTCTGTTGTGCGCTGTACCGCTTCTTCACAAACATTCACTTTTATTGCACGTTCGCAAAGTTCAAGGTTGAAGAAGGTTGCTAACGCTAAAGTCTACGAGCTTTGTTTGTTGGCTGTATGTTTATAGTTTGCACGACGTGGGCTGCTGAAGTCTATAACCCGTGTTGATATACAAACAGTACACTCTCAGAAAAAAAGGTGTATTATTACGCCCCTTGTCCCATATAATACACCCCAAAACTTCAATTCGACGCACAGCGCCCCCTAATCGAACAGGCGGCCCCAAAGTTTACGAGGGGCTTGATAGCCGTGTGGTACAACTTATTAAAATAGCTGATGTACGTATTATTGACTACAAAGAAGACTATCGGAGTTTTCTTGGCCGTACTGCAAAAGCTCCGTGTTTTCTTTCTTTGGTATTTGATACGTACTTTAGCAATTTAAAAAGTTATATTGCATCGTTATCAAACCTCTCGTAAAATTTGGGGCCGTCTGTTCGACTATAGGGCGCTGTACGTCGCAGTGAAGTTTTGGGGTGTATTATATGGGACAAAAGGGTGTAAGGTGATACCCTTTTTTTTAGACTTGCGAACAATTGCGGTTGATTGGTAAGCAGTTTCTTCCGATCCCCGGCAGATGGAGGTCAGTTCGCGCCGTTCGTCTCCAAGGATTCCGAGCTGTACGTGTTTGCGACGGATCTCTGCAGGTACGTGGTTCGGCTCACGTCTGTTACGCGAAGTGCGCTAGTATTCAAGCAACACCTAGAACGCGGTTTCCTAACTAATTTCAACTTCAACTGAGGAAAAGATAAAGAGGAGAATGTGGGCCCCGCGTTTTAACTCTCCACGCCCTCACGATGCTGTCACATCATGTCTGAAGCAAGAACCGTGTCTTTTAATGAGGTTTGAGCGGCGTGACTGCTGCATAAGAGGTGTTGGTTCTACTACCTCTATCTCTCTCGGTATCTTCAGTGTCACGTGACCTACAAGACATTCCCATAAATCATTGCATGCGGCCGTTTGGTTTATTTTTTGGCAACTAGTCTGTCGGTGTTTAATCTGCCCAGGTCGATGCGCTTCAACTACGAGAGGGACACCGAGGTGCACGGCCTGAAAACGATGCGGTTCACGCCGCCGGCGACCCTGTTCGCGTCGGCCGACGAGGACGAGAACAACCGCTGCTTCTGCACCACGTCGACGTGCCCCAGGAGCGGCGTCGTGTACGTGTCCACCTGCCAGAAGGGCGCCCCCATCGTGCTCTCGTCGCCGCACTTCTACCTGGGCGACAACGAGTACGTGAACGGCGTCGCCGGGCTCAGTCCCGTCAAGGAGCAGCACGAGACCTTCCTCGACATCCATCCCGTAAGTGCCACCCCTGCAGGTATACCGTCGTCGCCAGCTCATACATTGTGCAAAAGACAGGGTATTCGCACTGCAGATACGATGACGAAAGCATCTGCGGACACGTTTCAAGCGCCTCTCAAGCACGTGTATCCGTAGCCTCCTCTATACTCACAAAGCCTGGCAGTTTGACGACGAAGCCATAGAGTGCCCGGTCGCAGATTTTGAGCCCGAGGATCTGCTAGCACAGAGCATCAAAGAGCCATTTCTCGGGGAGCCTGGACGTCAGCGCACAGCTTTTGCAGCGGCGAGGACCCGAAACAGACTTGTTCGCTCGGGAGAAGTGTGTTTCGGCGTCTCGCTGCAGCGGGGCGCCAGTCACGTGGCTCTCATCTGATCCGTTGTCTGCCGCTCCACCTTTTCCATTTCGGCGGCCACTTCTCGTGGCGATCCGCCAGGCTTTGTCAGTATATAAGATGCTATGGTTTGTCTCATACATGTGACATGTCTCCGACAGTCTTTGATGACCTATGTCAAAGCGACCGTCGCACCATGAAAGAGACACGCCTCGGACACTGTCTGCAGGCTGTCTTTTTTACGATATATCAGCGGTGTGGAGCGCGACTTTAGAGCAACTACAGTCCGCGACAAAGCAAAACGACATCGCCTTAGTTTTAAGACACCGCATCCAAAACTCAGGAAGCCGCATTTTTTCACTAAGCATAAAGCCCAAAAATGGCGCCGTCCACAAAGATGTCTTCGAATGGTGTGCCGATGCTGTAAGCGTAGCCTTTATGAGGGTCTGTAATCCTCGCCAGCTAAACTGACGATCAACAAAGCTCGCGGACATTCCAGCTGTCCCTTACTGGGGACAGCTGGACACCCTCCACTTTAAACGTTGCTCCACGCACCGTCTCTCGTTAAATCGTCCAACTCACCAGTTTTGTGTAACGTGTCACGCTTCTCTAGGGCCTTTTTTTACCCATCTTTTAACTTTTGGCGACTACTTCGATGGTCAAGGTTACCTACATTTTGTTTCGCAAATGGCGTACCACGGTGTCATTAAGAGCATGCATTGCATAAGCGCTCGCGCGCTATAAGACTCTTTCTGAAGCAGTGCTCTCGCTTCCGTAGCCCTCGGAGCACTTGAGCTACACTCCGCGGGACTCTCCTGATAGGCAGTGGTATACGTTTTAGAGCAATACAGTAGTGGTATACATTAGTGGTATACGTTTTAGAACACTACAGTACTGTGCTTCGGCGTGACTTGGCAAAGGACGTAAGCCGCGTCACACGCGGGTCGATTGTAGAGCGAGCGTGATAAGCGCGTGACTGCTCTCCAAAGGAAGAGTACACCGACGGTACCAGGTCACATGCCTAGCTTTTTTGCTGTGATTGGCTCGCTGTGGCCGCAGCTTTTGCCAATCGCCAAGTTATATGCTCGAATGGAGTATCGAACTAGAACTTTTAATCTTCCATCAGAAATTGCACAGACGTTTGTTGCGTCAGAAATTTTGATCCATGCGTCACGAAATCATAAGAAAGTTTTGTGCTCGAAAGTTCCTTTCACCTTCTTCCTCAGCTCACGGGTCTGGTGCTAAGGGCATCAAAGAGACTACAGATCAACATCGATCTCAAGAATTACGACAAGCTGCAGTGAGTAAAAACCATTAAATTAAATTAAAAATCATTAAATGGGGAACTATTTTAATAAAAAAATAGCATATTTGGAGTTTAGAAAACTCACGCCTAACACTTGCCGCTCCACCTTCCAGCAGCCTCCCCATATCCTCGCGCTTTTCATACTTTCACAAAAAGATTTATACACGATGATTTTATTTCGCCTTGCTGGAAATTCCTGAACAATTGCAACACATTTTTGGTCGGTTTTCATTTCATAGCTCTTGTTTAGCGATAAAACATAAGCGTAAAAAATACCAAAATATTCAACGTTTTGAACTGATTTTGATGTGAAACCAAAACTTATATAGTTACGAGATTTATACAATTCAGTCATGAAATTAGATGACGAAGATAATGAGACGTGACAATTGTTTTGGCAATAGATGCAGTTGAATCAGCGCAGCAGGCAAGTCTGGTATCAAACTTCCTGAAACGCTTTTCCATGCTACCATTATTACGTGAACCTTGCATGTCTTCGCAAACCAAATCGGCCGATATAAATACCGTGAAATTTTTGATTGACGTATCCACTGCCTGCTTCAACAGCCAGAAAGGTGTTTCTTTTTATGATGTCCCCGATTTTTGTTGATGGGGATTGAATCAATAATTTGAAAATTATCATCAACGATAAAGTCAAACATTCACATTTTTTTTTGTTGCTCGTTTCAGACTGCTGAAAAATGTCGAAGACACCGTGTTTCCAGTGGCATGGATTGAAGAGGTATCTATACAGCGTATTTCGACGCGACCGCGACATCTACATAGTGTCCCAAAAGTTTTAGCTTTTTTTTTTTTTTACCGCAAAAATAATTAATGCATTGGCGAATGCTCATCCTCCACCCTAATGTAGTCCCATCAGGTATTACAATCATGTAATACCCGATCCGCCGGGGAGACGGGGGTGGCACCCACGTAACCCCTACCGCTGTATCTGTTCTGAAAGCCGAAATAGAAGTCACGTGCAGTTCCTCGAGTGGCCGCTGCGGGAGAAATGGTGGCGTTGTGTTCGTCATTAGCTCGGTGTTCGGAGACAGATTGAGGCCGCTTTTTCAAAGCTGTCTCTATGGGAGTTTCCCAACTGAGTGTTTTAGTGACGTTGAGCGCTGGCTTCCATGTCATGCTGGTACGGAGGCTGCGATCGTTATAAAGTCAGCTCCAACCCTTAAACATGCCCCCTCATACCATATTTGACGCTACGATTGCGTGTAGACACCTCCCCCTGCGATCCGAAACAGCAAGTACGTCGCTGACGCTGGCAATCGGGTATGAAGCAAGCGCCGCCATCTTCTCCGCGCCTTTGCGGTAGTAGTAAAAAGGTAGTAAAGGTCAGAAAAAAGTAGCAATGGCTGCATCTGCTAACTTTTTACTACCTATTGCGCGTTTGAGGTAGTAAATTGTTAGTGAAAGGTAGTAACGCTCAGAAGGGGGTAGTAACTGCTGCAGTTACTAGCTTTTTACTAGTAACTACTAGTAACGTTAGCTGGTGGTCATTCCCCTAGTGAAAAAGCCATTTGTATGAGAAGTTTCTTGTGTTCAATAAACACATATGAATCATACAAGATATATAAGAACATATAAGAAATATATAACATATATAAAAACATAGAAGAAAATTATATATCTTAAATGTTCTCATATATCTTATATGATTCATGTGTGTTTATTGGACACAAAAATTTCTCATACAAATGAGATTTTTTAATAGGGTCCTACGTCTATTTGCTGAGAAAAACAAATTCGGTGGTACGAAATGTATTCTGCAGAAAGTACGCACTCAGCAGCAAGGCCCCAAGGGGCCTTGCTGCTGAGTGCGGCTTTATTATGAATGTTTTTAACTAAATATATTTTCTGAAAGAGTGATCAAATTAAGCCTAAAGCAATTAATACCCGTGCCACAAGGGCAACTCGAATTCCATTTACAACGGATGACCTTTGAGCGGACGGCCAATCAGCGCGCGACACTCCGGGAGTGGCGCATTCCACGCGCGACAGATTGCGAGCTCATTCGCCGATCACACAAATGTCATTCGTTGGAAATGGCATTCGAGTTGCCCGTGTGGCACGAGTATAATACATTTCCCCAAAACGTTTTCAATATTATTTTAACGTATAAATACGAAAAAACTGAGAGAGAAAATAGAGCTTGTCGGTGACGTTAGATGTTTAACACCAGAACATGGGCAGCTGCAGCCTTTTTTGCTCAGCGTCAGAAGCGATCAGAAGGCCGTCAAGATCGTCCGTGGGAAACAATTGACTACGATTCGCCAAGCTCTTGTCTGAATCAAGTAGTGACCGGCAACTGTTTCACGATTCTCCAGCACGAGATTGACGAGATTTCGGACGATTCGCCGTTCGGATTCGATCTGCCTCCACTGACTCCAAAGGGAACCACCCGTAGCGGCTGCGTTCTCGAGACGCCGGCATGTGGACTCATATGCTGCTTCAAAAGCAGAGTCGTATGGAAGGTTTTGTTTGCTATTGCACAGTACGAACTGTGCTTGCACACAACTCTGTCAATAACCCATGAGATGTCACTCTGCCCCCCATCTCATCAACTTTCAACGCGCAACGCCGTAGAGGAGGGAGCGTCTGCTCTCGGATACATTTAACCTCACGATGATCCCAGCGATCAGAAGGCCGTCAAGTGGCAACAACCGGCAGTGGCGGCCACTGCCGGTTGTTGCCACTAGAGAGGCAGTGATTCAGAGGTGTAGGCGTAAACTCCAGAAGTCATTTTCTCGCAAGAAAATGCATATTTTGTAGATATATTTTGTATATATACTCAGGAGTGGATACTTAGTGCATGGTGAAAATTTTATAAAAATCGATGACCCTCAATATTTTGTCGGAGCTCCTCTTTAATGGCCGCTGATGTGATGTAACTGCAAGCCATGTGTAGACGACCGCCTTGTTCACCAAAGCAGGATAGCTGTGCAAAGAGGCTAAGCCAAGGGACTATGAAAACGGGTCGAACAAAAATTGACAGTGTAATTCCTCAAAGTCTTGAACTCTTGTCACACTGTTTTCCTGGACATGAGCCTTGTGTGGTGTCTTGCAGAGCGTCGAGCTGAGTCCATCGCTCGCGGAGGAGTTAAAGCAGAAGGTGGAAATGCCGCAGCAGTTGGGTAACGGCACCATCGCCACGGCCATGGTGGTCGGGGGCGTCGGCAGCTCCATCTGCGTCGTCATGGTATTCCTCCTATACCTCAAGGTAAGCCACATACGAAAATTCGAAGCAGAACAATTGATTCGACAATTTATGACCTTAGAGTTGAGCACTTCAGCGATGAGCACTTCTGGCAGTTGCCCCAATTCAGGTCTCAAACAAAACTCCACTTTGCATGTAGTAACCGAAATGATGTCCGCGCAAGGGACGCTTGAATACTGTCTGTCCATAGTGCCAAGAGCCGACCTGACACCTTCCACAAAAAATCTTCCCATTTTTTTTTTTTTTTACATTCTAAAGTCACTGTAAAATCATTGCATGTAATCTCTGCTTTTATTATCCGTATTATAGATCTAAAAGGGCCCTGAGGAGGCTTTTGAAATTGTCTAAATATGGCGATAACTCACTCCGCGGGTTCTAAGCACCCTATAAACCCATAAATCATAACGATGCCCGGCCGATTTTCCTATTAAAATAGCAATCAAAGATCGAACACACCGAGGTTATATCCGGATATAGGAAGAGCATTGTTCTGTCTGCCAGAACGACATGTCACCAATAAAAACGCGGCACTTCGGTGAGATTGCAAACGCTGTTATTACAAAATGTGAACGCTTTTGTAGATGATAAACGCAAATAAAAATAATCAATTTCTTTTCTTTTTGCGGAGAGGGAGCATATTACTGCAATTATCGTCTCAAAAACAACGCATTATGCTTTTCGTTTTTTCTTTGTCTTTTATGGGAGTTATGCGTCCGGTCGTCAGCTCTCGAGCGCGCGCTCGATGGGTTGAATCATAGTCCCGACTGAACGGGCAACGAACCGCGCGCATTCGACATATCAAACCGCGGTTCCACCGGTAGGAGGCCCGAGAATCCTTCGCTTGCTATTGGCTGACAGTGGTCCTGGTCTTGGAACATGCTCCTTCCATATCCGAAGATGAACTCGGTGTGTTGCGGTCTTTGGTTGTTTTCTCTAATAGGAAAATCCGCCGCGTATTGTCACGATTGAGGGACTTTTATGGTGCTTAGAGCCAACAGAGTGAGTTATCTCTAGATTTAGGAGGATTTCAGAAGCCTTATTAGGGCATCTTAAAAAAGGAATCAAAGCTGCGCGCGTGCACAGCTTTGATCGGCGCTCGTGGTGAGCTAGTGCTCAGGCACCCACAGCTTCGACACTGCCTTTTAATCAATCATGGTTCCCGCTTGCTTTGACTTCGCTGTCACAGAAAGTTTCCCCAAGTACATACAATCGCATACGGGACATGTGTCTCTGCTCCTATTAGCGAGCCCGTATAATTGCAACCCTGCTGAAGTTACCTCCATGACAGTGGCGGTCTCAAATATTGGTTCTAGGAAAGCGACCCCCGCCCCCGTGCTGTGAATGCGTCTTTAGGCATCGATAGATGGATGGATGGATGGATGTCAGAGCCGTATATGTAGAGAGTTTGGCCATTCGTTGGGAAGTATAGGAGACAAATGAGGAGGCGCCATTGGCCGAAAGCGGGCTGGGCGTGTTCCAGGGCGTCTTCAGAAATTCGAATGTGACCAACCGGAAGCCGGAAATAATACCCTGGCGGTGGTCGCGAGAAACAAACCTGATAACTGCATTGAAGTAACTCTCGATGACTGAAAATACGATACACGTGATGTTTCAATCAGGCTCATCCAAAATGATTGTGGAAGAGTGCGACTAGCAGAACGATCGACATAATCCGTACGCCAAACGCCCAGGGCCGGGAATCTGCCGTCCGGGCGGTCACACTCTGTCCGCGCAAAACAGAGTTGAGCGGCACATTCGTTTCTTATATCTTTCTCCATGATCATGATGAAAACAACACGTGCACCCTATTTTCAACCAGAAAGAGTTAGTACACTTCACTCTTACGCACTTATTAAAACCATATATGAACATAGACCTCCGATCAGAACTCTTTCTCGCTACCACCGCTAGGGGATTCTTTTCGGCTTCTGGTTGGTCAAGAGAGCATGCCAAGCCCTCTTTTCGAGTCTGCCGCACGCCCTGGCCCTGCCCGCGCCTCCCATTGACCAAACTCTCTACATATACAGCTCTGATGGATGTTAGCGGCCGCATGTTTTATAACGGGCGGTAGCTTGCGCCACCTAGCCTGCATCTTGTTGCTTAAAATCATTGTTGCCAGTTATTTGATCCTTTATCTGATATCGCGGCCAACAGATTTCCATCCTTCGAAACTGTAACTCAGGAAGTCGTAGTTCGATCACTCCTCGCGCCTGCTCAGCTACAAGCACCGAAACGGCGGTGCCCCAGCAAACTCGGAAAACGAAATACGATGCTCTGATCGCGGCTTATATGATAGCTCTAGTTCCTTCTACACCTTTTAAGTGCGAAACACATGTACGACGAAACCGTCCGTATCCGACGTCCGATCGCAGCTCTGACTCGCTGCATACGATTATCCGAGATATATGCTTCCTACCGAGCTCGCGACGCGTCGTTCCGACGGTTCCGATCGGCTTCGTCCAGTTCCGTGACAAGTTCGTGTTGCCCGACTCCCTCTCTACGATCGCCCTCGT